ATTGGGATTCTACAATGAAATATACTAGAATTAACAAGGTAAGATGGTGTTTGTCTTGTTTTACTAGATAAACTCGACTCCTCTGCTCCCTGTGGTCAGCGAGAGAAAGCAACAGCCATCCCTCTTTAAACGACTGCCTTCATCCAGGGCCCCCGCTACAAAACCACCTATGGGACGTTTTAGTAAAATCACGCACCTACCCAATCCTCGTTACCGCCGACTTGAAGAAAGCCTTCCTGCAAGTCCGAATTATGGAAGAAGAACGGGACTCGTTACGATTCCACTGGAAGCATCCAAACACTAGTGAAATTGAAGTGTACCGTTTCACCCGAGCGTTATTCGGTCTCACATGTTCGCCATTTCTTCTCGCGGGAGTGATAAACCAACACTTTGACAATTGGAAGGAGCGATACCCAGAGATCGTTAAGGAACTGCGTGAAGCAATATATGTCGACGATCTAATGAGCGGTGGAACAACTGTTGAAGAAACCGAGCAAAAGAAAGCAGCTGTTGTTGAAGTGTTCGAAGATGCAAAATGGCATTCTAACGCGCCAGAACCTGAGCCGACTGACGAAGTACAAACAGAACTCGAAGAGATAACCTATGCCAAAAGCAAGCTCGGAGGAGTTGATCAACCAGAAGGGAAACTACTCGGTCTTCCATGGAACAGACAACAAGATACGTTAAGTGTCACCCTGACAAAACAATTCGGAACAACAACCAAAAGAAGAATCCTTTCAAAACTGGCCAAGATATATGATCCGTTAGGACTTGTGTCTCCTACTACGTTAGTAGGTAAACTAATTTATCGTGATGTTTGCGACGCAAAACTGCCATGGGATGCCAGCCTGCCACAACCGTTAACTAAACGATGGAAAGAATGGAATGATTCCCTGGAAACATTTACGGTTCCTCGATCACTTGCACCTCATCGACAATCAGTAACGGAGGTTACTCTACATGGCTTTGGGGACGCAAGCTCTCGCGGAGTATGCGCAGTAGTTTACGCAGTTGTCAGTCAAGGAAAAGAAATCACCCAAGAATTGGTTTGTGCCAAGTAAAGAATTGCGAAGCGTAACTTAACAATTCCTCGACTCGAACTGATATCCGGGCATATGGCAGCAAACCTTGTGACCAATGCACAAGCAGCATTCAGTAACCAGCGAGTGACCCTTCATTGTTGGCTCGACTCCACGGACGCCCTTTACTGGATTAATGACCAAGGCGAGTATCACCAGTTCGTGGCCAACCGTGTCAACCATAGATATCTTATATACACTACATAGCGCATCTCTTTAAGTAAAATTGAAGCCAAGAATATTCCAGTGGTTAGCCATGTTGGAGTTTCCCACTCGCTAATAAACGCTTAAAAAACAACAATAACTTTCATCATATGAACAGTTTGAAAATGTATTTGGAATAGGTTTGTTTAACTTAATGTTTAAGTTCCCTGTTTAAGAAATAGAAAACATACGAGTCTTCTCATTTCATGGGAATATCCTGAGTCTGCAATCATGGCTTCAATTTTTGAATTGCAGAATAATTAGATGCACTATCTAGTGTATATAAGATATCTATGGTGTCAACAAGATCCAGCAACACAACCAGATAATTTGGCATCATGTTCCAACTACAGATAATCCAGCAGACATAGGAAGTCGGGGAGGGAATGTCGTGAACAACGAGCTGTGGAGGAAAGGTCCAACGTGGTTGAGCAACCCATCTGAGTGGCCACCAGACAAGCGACTAGAAGCAACTGCAGAAACTAAAGCTGAAGCCAAAATAATCAAAGAGATCCTTGCTGTTGCAACTATTGAGCCAGACATCTTTGACAAACTGCTTGACAAATACCAGTTATCTAAGAGGCCCACCAAGGGGTTATGACCGACAGGCGACATTCCTTAAAAAGAGGCGACAGACTATCTAAAAAAGAGCGACAAACGACAGCTTCTGACTGGGGAAAAAGCGACAAATTACGATTTGTGTTATGGGTCAAAAGTGACAGCGACATTTATTACAATAAAACAAGCGACAAAGCAACTACAAAATTAGTGACAAGCGACCTAGGTTACACCCTTGGTGGGCCTCATCTAAGGTACTAAGAATCGGGACATGGATTTATCGGTTCATCTCTAATTGGAAAGACGGCCGTGAAAGGGAAGTTGGTCCAATCAAGACAAGCGAGATCAAACAACAACAACTGTGGTGGATACTATGGGTCCAGAGAGAAGCAGGAGACCTTCATTTCCGAACTGACCAAATACAGCTCAACCTTCAGCCCAATGATGACCAAGTACTGGAATGTCAAGGGAGAATCATAGGTGAATATCCCATATACCTGCCTGATTCACATCCATTCACAGCTAAAGTGGTATTTCAAGCTCACATGGCGGGATCAATCCATGGCGGGATCGCGATCACGATGGCAAAGATCCGAGAACGGTACTGGGTACCACGACTTCGCCAGTTGACAAAGAAGATTATGAGAACATGTCATGGATGTAAGCTGTTTCATGCGAAAGCCTACCAAGACCCACAACCTGGAAGCCTACCAACCACGAGAACCCAAGGAACTCTCAAGAACCACGAGAACCCAAGGAAGACCTCGCAAGGAAGCTTTATTGACTATATACTAAAACAAATTATTTTGAGTTCAGTTCACATAGCAGTCTCTTAATTCGAGCAACAGTTTATTAATAACTATTATTTTTAACACTTGAATAATTCAAACTTATATATACGAACGAAAACTGCAAAACTTTACTTTTATATAAATAAAGCGTGTCAATTTTTTACTCATTCTCAACATGCAGGATACACTGTTACAGCGAGTTAGTTTTTGGTGGCCATGCATGCAAAAGTGGCCCGCTTATTTTGCTATGAGTTATGTGGACGTTTAATTATTGCTGTTACATAAATGTTCCGGTTTTTAAGAGCTATAGCCGAAAAAAATTGTGTGCTCATTATAATCGCCGATCACATAGCTTTATCACAGTCTCAAACCTTCGGACAAACTTATATATACATTCCTCTCCGGATCCTTTCTCCCTCCCCCTTCGGATAGCAAAAATGGGTATGGATCTTTTCTGGAACGACCCAATGAGCCATTGAACGCCAGCATGAAGAGCAGGAAGTCGAATAAGACTAACAAATAATCACATGCGTCCACGATTTGTTTCAATTGGTCAGAATTAAGAGTGGCCTTGTGGGAGACTAAGTTTTGCACGAAAAAAAAACAAAAAACGACCGAAACTATGACTCGAGCTGAGCTCGAGTAAAAACTGTATTTATTGGTGTGCCGAAAAAACAGCTCCAGCCTAGTTAGGGTTAGGTTTAGTGTCAAGGTTGCAGTTAGGGTCATTTCCATAGAAATATTAGACCTAGAATGTGTGCTTGGTCATGTGACTGGTGTCCAAATTGAAAACAAAAATGCCCTTATAAATCCGCCATGTTGAATTTGAGCATAGGAGTTAGAGGTGTGCATCAGATCTGATTGGACGTTTATAATCTGACAATTGCCTAATGTTTAAAATCCAATCCGATCCGAAATTGTCTAATCCGAATCCGAGTTTTGACAAAGAATTCCAATCCGATACGAAGAATTTTTTTATAAAAAAAATTTCTCATTCCAGTTGAAATATTTAACCAAACAAATATAAAAGCAAGAAATACATGTCAAGAAGCTGACAAAGTGACGTCCAATTGAAGTATCAAATGAATAATGCAGCGACAACCGCGATAATGCTTTGATAAATGCATGGATAATTAATTCTTGCGATAATGCGTGGATAATTAATTCATTTTATTTCGGATATCGAAGTCCGATCCGACTACGAAACAACTTTATCAATCCGATCCGAATATTTTGGTTCCGAAATCCGAACGAATCGGATTCGGATTTGCACAACTCTAATAGGAGTGCAAACTACAAAGAATAAACAAAGCTAAAACTAAGTTAACTTTTCATCGTCACAAGGTTTTGTCGTGCTGTCTAATTTGTAGTTTGGGGATATATTTTGAAATATTAAGTTCTTTAAAGGCTTGAAGCAAATGACTGTGCAGTTACTGACAAAAACAGTAAAAATCGTGCCTTGTAAAAGCAAAGTAGTTTCGCGTATTAAAATATAAATAAATTTACTCATAAAACATTTTTGCCTGCTCTGAACATAACTGCTTTGCTAATTTTTTATTAAATTACAAAATGATAGTTCATTCTTCATCAGGTTTCGTTTTTCTTCAATCTAAACGCAGTGTTTTCATGTTTTTGAAACAAAAATATTTAGTTATCGATAAACTGTAAATCGCCTAAATAATCGTTGAAAACTATGGTTTCAAAACCGTTGTCTCAAGCTCAAGCAATGTAAAAAATATAAAGTAGTTGTGTAAGTTTAAAAATATTACTAAACTCCATCAGTCCATTTATATTATAAAACAGCTGAAATATTTTTAGAACATACCTTAGTATTGAGTTTGAGTTTGTCTTGATCTTTCGTGTTTTGTTTTGGCTTGCACAATAATGTTGAAAAATTGCATTTTCAAACGATGATTTCTGTATATATTCTGTTCAGAACTATTTATTTTCGTAAAAAAAACACTGGAATGGGTTTTTAGACGCTTTTTTCCCTTTAGCTAAAAAACTTTTTTCCACTTCAAGTCTCGATATAATTATTTTTGCAAACTTTGTTGAAAAAAAACCAATTTGCACTACCAGCAATCGCACAAAATTCCTTGCCGCAGGGGGCTGGGACTAGCCAAAATGCCCTTATAAATCCACCATTTTGTGGAGACAAAATTTTTACTGAGAAAAGATAGGAGCACGCATTCTATGTCTATTATTTCTATGGTCATTTCCCACCTAAACATGTACTTCACAAGTCTGCTGTATTTACCGGCTAGACAGTGATACACTGATGTCTGTTAAGATGCAGTTGTACCGATTCTGGTTCAAATACAACCGCATAACAAATTGTATAATACTTCCCCTGGAAAAAACATGGTATCTGCTGATTGGTGTTTTAACCCATTAAGCTGTGCACAGAGCTTCCCCAGTGACAAGTAAAATTGTCTGGCATTAGACAAGTAAAAGAAAATAAGTAGGGTGTACTGGGACACATTGCAGCTCAATGGGTTAACTAGAAACATTGTTAGATTTTTTCGACGAGTAAAACCGTCTGGCTTTAGACAAGTAAAAAAATAAGTGGAGCGCATTGCGGCTCAATGGGTTAAGGCCATGGGAATGAAAGTCATAGATTTGCGTCCGGGTAATTTTGAAAAAGCATGCAGCTTTTTTTCATTATTCATTATTTATTTGACCATTCTTTTGGGTGGTAAATACAGAGATCAAAACATATATCACAAGCTCACACGGTTGCAGCACTGAAGATATGTGTGCCAATTTTGCCATTTCAGTGAATATATATATATATATATATAATTTGGAATTTCATACAATGTGGATACTGAGGACAAACATACTGCAATATGTTCATTTCATTGTAATAGATACACAATTTTATTGCTAATTTTATAGAGTTCTGGTTTGTTTGTGAAAATAATGAATTTTTTTGTAAATAATGAAAATTTTAGGCGGAAGCTTTTGAGGCATGCGGGAGGTGGACGCAAATCTATGATTTTCATTCCCATGGCCTAAATATACTTCCGACTTGTACAGCACTGGCAAGAAATAACTTCACCAAAAACTGTACCAAGAAAATCAAAAACCATGCCAGGACACAGGTATTTTGCGTCCGACATACCCCTATAAGCCCGAAATTTCCATCAACAAAACACTCAATTTTCTGTTCCATCGAGTTTGAGATACCCAAAATTTAGAATATTTACCTTCAAGTGCAACAAACATTACAAACTCTGGCTGATGACTGGGACCACTAGAGCTTTCCAAAGTAAACTCCACTGATGGAAAAGTCTCGTTGAACAACATCAACGCAGACTTGTCCACGTCCTTTTTCTGCTTTTTAAATTTCTTTCTCCTCGGTCCTGGCGTCGTATTCGGCTGCACATGGACAACGACATGATCACTTTCCATATTCACACTACGGACATCGCCTTCAGTAACCTCCTCTACCTTCCGTTTTTCTGCCAGATTCTCGTGACTGTTATCCATTTTCACTTATAACAAGGAAGATAATGGTGAAAATGTATGCTTTTTTCGGCACAAAAATACAGAAAATTATCTGGCCAACACACACTATAAAATTTCCACGGAACACAAACCGCTTCGCAGAATCGCAGTGCGCACGAATTTCTGCGCACGTGTGCGTAGTATAGAAATCACAAAGACGCATGCTCAGAAACGAAATACTGTATTTCGTATTTCCTTCGCAAAATAAATTAAAGTTTTCAGTCAGAAAAAGGAAGAAACTGAATTGGAAGATCAGTGCAGAGACTAGTATTTCTCCACTCTACTATTTTTTTAATGTAAAGTTTAATCCTTAAAAAAATGTAAGCTGAATTTTTAGCATGTAACCCTGATGTAACATAACGTATTACCTCGATTGACGTACGCTGGTTCGTAGGCTCGCAATATGGCGGCAATTCGATCATGAAAAGTGAATATAAAAATTGAAAATAAAAGATAAGTGAAGCTTCGTTTATTTCAACAGTGAATTAGGTTGAAATCAAGGCATTTTAAACATGTCTATGACGGATCTATTTGGTAGTGATGAAGGCAGTGATGTTGAAGGAAGTGATGATGAAAATAGTACAAGTGTGAGGGAAACTGTGGGGAAACAGAATGCTCAATCTTCTAGTGATGAGCAGTCTGTTGAGGAGGGCGATGTTGGGGAAGAGGGAGAGGAGGAGGACCGGGAAGAAGAGAGAAATAAAGAAGATGATGAAGAGGAACAAGAAGAAAGACAGGTATATGCTAGTATGTGGGTAAAATATCGAGATTTTGTTGGCTTCTCACAATCTCACTGACACTGTTAATTGACCCTTCAAGTCTTCAATTATTAATTTAAAACAGTAAGTCCATTTACTCTTTATTGTCTGATACCGTAAAATTTTTCTTTGCCTGGCGTTTGCTGTTTGACGTATAACGCGAAGCTTAAACTCTCTAATATCACAGTTTCATCACAGGTAAAAATTATGGATTGTTGTTGGTATTAAACAAAGCCAGGGACCAGTGGCAGCGCCAGGCCTCAGAATTGGGGGGGGGGGCATTTGAGGGGCAAACTCATTTGGGGGGGGGGGCAAGATAGAATTTTAAAAAAGGTACTGCTATTTGCCCATGCCATTGTCACAGGACTTAAATTGTCCCCCCCCCCAGGAGATTTGCCCCCCTCTCAAAAGGGGGCGATATTCCTAGGAATACCGCCCCCGGGGGACGAATATCCTAGGAATATCGCCCCCAGAGGGGCGAATGCCCCAGGAATATCACTCCCCCCCTTTAGGATATTCGCCCCCCATATATGCGATGTGGTTTATTCAAATAATTTCGTGATACTTTCATCTTATTAGTGCCTTAAGGCCCATACAGACCGGATGCTATTTGGCAACGCGACACAAATTTTCAGTTTTCAATGACATTTAACTTTAATATTTTTTATTGTTTTTCAAATATTCGGGACCACTTAGCAATTTTAACTATTTGGTCTGCATACCTTGTAAAACTTTTATCCGTTGACGGTTTTATTTGTTTTTGAAAGTGAAAATTCTGGTCTGTGTGGGCCTTTACATGTTTGAGAATTTAACTTTTAACTTACCATTCAGAGATTTACAAACTAATATTGAAACTGTAAAAGACAGTTTCATGTATACGCGCATTCACTAATGAGTAATGACTTGTTAGCCTTTAGTCGCTCTCAGTGACTAATACATTTTTTTGAGGGGGGGGCAAAAAATAATTTTGGGCTTTGCCCCCCCCCCCTTGCCCACCCCCACCCCCCCTGGCACCGCCACTGCCAGGGACACGAGAAAAACAAAGTAAAACTAGTCTCCCATTATTAGCGACTGTTTTTTAGTCATGTCCTCGTCGCAGATTTGGTGCATCTTAAGCTCCCTAATATAGAGATTACGCTGAATATTGTATTGTGGCCATATGATTGTAGCTCAGTTTAAAAGTTCCATTATAATACAACCACACGCACAATCTCTCAATGACAATATGTCTTAAAAATAACGTGTAAATTGTGCGTATTTGTATGATACGCGTATTCGTATGAATTACGTGTATTCGTATGATACGTGTATTCGTATGATACGTGTATTCGTATGATACGCACGTTCCAGTGGCGGAAACTAGGGGGGAGGGGCGAGGGGGGGCTATCGCCTCCCCCAAAATTTTACTAAAATTATATTTTAGCTAGATTTCATAATTCATTTTGAAAAATGAAAGCACAATATAATTGTAATAGTATTATGTAGATATTTTTAATGTGCACAGCTCCATGGAAGAGCACATTTTGTGAAATGGGCTCTGTGTGTAAATAAAGTTTTAATAATATTATTTAATATTATTAAATTGATAATAATTTCACATGCTAAAATTTTGGGGTTGGTTATTAGTGGAGTGATCATGTTTACTACATTTTTAAGAAAGTAAACAAATGCATATACTCTGTAGAATTGAAGCAAGCGAAAGTCGCCATGTGCCGATATAGTCCAATTCTATTCAATATGCATAAGACCCATCTTAGATAGTGCTGTGCGCCGGAGTTCTGCCGGAGCTCCGGCGGTTTTTCCAACACCGGAGCAGAATTTTGTATGCTGGAGCCGGAGTTATGTTTTCCCAGCTCCGGCAAAATGACAAGAAAACAATATGAAATGAGACAAATGTCAAACGATTGTTAGTTACTGCAAACTGCCAATTGCTCTTAATGAATTCATCATAGACTCAAACTGCCACAGCCCACAGGAACAGCGTCGAAAAGCTGTAATACGATCGCAACTTACAAACGTCATGCTTTCATGAAGCCATCTGACTTAGCGCTGAGTCTGTGTATTCATGCCTTGTAGATAACGAAAAAGTACAAAACAAATAAATATCAACCTTTTGAAAATGACAGAGTACTTTGTTTGCGTGCGAACAATTGCGCTGTGGAGTCTGAGAGTGTTCGCGCCATGCCTCGTGTCAAAGATTTTTCGAGGCTGGTTTCCATATGGATATTGTGTTTTCACTGTTTTGTTTCCTGAGTTATGTTATCTGATAATTAGGAAGCACGAGAAGGGTTATTCATAATAATATAATTTATTTAATAAATGTTCTCTGATCGTAAAACATTTATTTAATATTTTATGATGTGGCCGGAGCCGGAGCTCAGAGCTGTAATTCGGCCAGAGCCGGAGATGAAAAACCGGAGTTTGCACAGCACTAATCTTAGAGTATAGTTGTCAAGTCTTCCATCATGGTTTACCAGAATATCTTTCACTTGCAATTGAGCGTGTTCAGAAGCGTGTGTTATCCATTATATACCCCAGTGTTGAGAGCTACACAGATCGATTAGAAGTGAGTGGCCTTTTCACATTGCAAAGTCGACATGAAGCTCATGCTTGTGCGAAATTATTTAATAAGTAAACATTAAAGACAATCATAGTCATAAGCTATTTTCCCTTTTACCACCGAGACATTTTTCAAATTACAATGGTCTAGGGATTTTATTCATCCACATGTCAAAACAAAGAGATTCGGTGACACTTTTATTCCAAGCAGTGTCAATAACGAAAAAATTGTAAATAATCGGGGCTTCTTCATATAGTATGTTCTACAAGTTATATGTATATATGTTATAATAATTTTAAATACTTAGGTAAATTTTTTATTCCATAGTTTTTATCAATGTAACTATCACTCAATTCAGCTCTCGAGCTGCTATGTGTATGATTAATAAACCATCTATAAAAATATATAAATAATACACACCCTCACTTTATAACCAATTATTATTTTACCTTAATTAAATGGAAGCCTAAACCTTATATAAGAAATATCTGGTATCCGGCTGGATAATTTGACCGGATATTTTCCAGCTATCTGGCATATCCTGTATCTGACGGATAGCAAGAAGCCTGCAGTGCTCTCCAAGAGATTTTACAAATCAACTAAAAACAATTTTTAATAGACTATAAAAACAAATGTGTCTTAGGGGATATATGTGGCTAATTGAGAGAAATTGATAAATTCCTTTTGTGCACCTTTTAAATACAAAATGCTGAAGGAATGGAAATTCAGGCAATGGCAAGACAAGTTCACTAGGGTGCATTGGTGATTGTGGCTTAATGGGTTCATCTCACTTCTAGATTGTATTTCAACATCTATATAAAATACTGAATACTATATTCATTCATCATCAATCATCTTTAGGAAGAAGAAGAAGAAATGGAAGGAGAGAAAAGTGAACAGGAAGATGAACATGAAGAAAAAGTTGAAATTAAAAATGATTCTGAAAATGAAGGAAGTTCTGAAGAAGAGGAAGCTGAACAAAGTGATAAAGAGGAAAAACAAAGTAACAAGGTATGATTAATTTTTTATTCAAATAGCACAAGGGTATATTTAACAATTATTCACCGAAGATGAGGTGAATAATGCAAGGATATCCTTGCAAGGATATCCTTGCGCTATTCACCAACACTGAGGTGAAGTATTTTAGCATGACAGAAAGGATAAAACTGGAAGTGGTGTTATGCTAGCAGTAAAGAACTCTATACAAACTCTTCATCGTAAAGACTTAGAAGGTGATGCGGAAATTGTACTATGCGGACTTCGACCTGAAGTCAGGCGTAAAATCCTGGCTGTTGTGTTTTACAGGCCGCCCAACTCTAACCTTGACCATCTGAAAGAACTTAAAAAGTCACTATGCCACGCCTCTCAATTCAATTTCGATCAAATAATCATCTGTGGGGATTTTAATCTGCCTGATATTGATTGGTCTACTGGCATTGCATCGTCTTCCGAATCATTGCACAATTACTTTTACTAAATTTGTCAAAGACAACCCTTATTACTTGTGGCAGTTGGTTCACTTTCCTACGAGAAACAGTAACATTCTTGATTTGATCTTAACAAACATTCCTGACAAAATACATAATCTAAATGGTTACGACGACATTATGTCTACCGATCACAATTTGATCGGTTTTGATCTACTGTAGAACTAAGAGTCCCTACGAAACCGGACATTAAACGCTCTGCCTACAAGTTTAAAAGAGCAGATTGGTCTGGTCTGAACAACTTACTCCAGAACACCCCTTGTGTGACTGTGTCCAGTCATTAGGTGGATGCTTCTCTCTCAAATTG